GCCTGGGCCGCATTTAGTGAATAGAAATTGTCTTGGACTGCATAGATGTAGGTAGCTCCAAAAGTAATCCTCCTATTTATTTCTGTGGAAACAACAGATAGAACGAGCACAATAACACTATTTGATAGAAAAATTCTCAGGTATAAAACAGCATTTTTCATCATAGTCACCACCATTAGCTACATATTTTCACCAGCAATGAACAAGACCCTGCACGCTGTGCTCATAACAACCCGTACCAGCGAAGATGACCCACTGTCACCACTGCGGAAATATACCACCCACACAATAGGAATATTTCCTTCAGCTCTCAGACGGGGTTTCTTCAAATCCCAGGGGCTGCTTTCCCCCTGGGAAAAATATGCATGTCTTTGTGCTCTGTCAGTTATGAGATGAGCTATGTGAAGTTACAGAAACTGTGTGTGGATGTTACTATTCTATAAATGATGTCCTGCAATGAAGTGGCTTGGGTTGAAAGGGACCCTAATAGACATCAGGTTCCAAATCCCCTGCTGTGGAAATATTTATTTATTTATTTGTTTATATAAAATTTATATATATATATATATATATATATATATATATATAATACATACATGTAACTTATTGATCTTGTAGAATGAAGCATCCAGAAGTAACGTAATGCAAGGATTGCAAAGATTAGTATTGGCTGCACAATGTTTATTCCACCTTTCTGTCCATATACACCACTGTATCATTGCCAATTGCAGTCCTGTACTGCTTCTCCATCCAGAAAGACGTTCTCCTTGTTCATAGGGTAGATGGCGACCAATTAGTAATCCTGCTTTATAGTAACTGAATTCAAAACCTAAATTGCTGCCTGCTGCTCACACTCTACTTTTGTTGGGCTTTTCCACAGATGTCAGCAGTGTCTGTATGAAGCCGGCAATCTTTAGTACTCAGAGCATCCCTCTGAAGCATCACCAAAGGACAAAATGTAACATAATTCAAAATGACCATCTAAATGCTGGCACCTAACAAGAAAAGCCTAGCAGCAGAGTCAGAGGGATCCAAACTACCCTGAACAGCCGCATACTCTGTGCCCAGCGCCTGACTGGATCACAGATTTGACACAGATTTGGCAGGGTGTGAAGGGCCTGTTGATGAAAACTGCAGCTTGTGCAATTAATTATACAGCATCACATGCTTATTCCCCAGGTGAAAGTCCCAGTTGCTGAGCAGCTGCCAGCAGTCAGGAGCTTCAACACTGGAGCCAGCCAGGACATACAATAGGAATATTTCCTTCAGCTCTCAGACGGGGTTTCTTCAAATCCCAGGGGCTACTTTCCCCCCAGCACCATTAGGAGGATCTAAACCTCAGCAGCATACTGTTCTGGAGCAACAAAGCCTCTTGTAAGAGCCCAGTGAGAAGGGAACCAAAACAGCCATTCCACCTGACCACCTCCCAGGGTAGTGCAGAGCTGGGACTACATAGAACCAACAAACTCGTCCTCTGCTTTCTCGCCAGAGGGCCATCGCTCCTTTGGGTCCTCCTTCCACATTCTTTCACCAGCCCAATCTGTCTCTTGCCTACTGTGTCCTTACACAAGCAGCATACATGGGCTGGAAAGGGCAAGGGGAGAGCAGGTGAGAGCAGTTTCACACTTGTCCCCTGCCATTGCCAGCCTCTGTCAGCCAGTGATCACCACTACCTGCACCCTGCAGACAGCTCCTGGGAATTTAAGCTGAAAAGCTGAGATCTCTATTAAGCACATGCAGACTGGGTTTTCAAATGCTTTGTAACACGGTCAAGCTTGAGCTCAGTGTTAGGGAGCGGGTGCAATGTCTCTTCCTACCAGAATGCTGCCTTCTGCCAAGATGCAAGTGCAATACTTCAAAGCGTTAAACCAAGAAAGGAGAATGTCACCAGAAATTTTTCTAATGGGTTGGAGGAAGCTGAGATAAACAATCGGTTCCTCAGAACGGTTTCAGACATTAGAAATGGATTAACAATTTTTTGGCTGTATATTCCCAAACAAATTTAGCCCAAGGCACAGCGCCTGCCTGGGGAGTTTTAGTCTCCATCGCTTCACTGTGATATTGTTGGAGTTCAGACAGCACTTTGTACATTATCAGTTATTTGTACAGCTTTAAGATGGGTTGAGCAATCAGCTTGCTTATGACAAAGCAGGCAGCAAACCTGAAATAGCCAAGTCTTTCATAATTACTGTTACTATGACTTACTGCCAGCCTTCCCACAGTGCACAGTGATCTGTTCTTCAGGCTCTTCGTTAAATTCCCTGCGGCTATTCCCTGCACCTATCCCACCAGCTCACCTGTAACGAAAGCAAGGCCTGGTTGTGTTCTGCTTCTGCTGCCCATTCTCAGGGAAGGAATGGCAGCTGTCGCCCTGACTCGTCTCAGGCCCAACGCCACGGCTCTGTTCCAGCTGCTGGTTTGGGTTTGTTCTCCTTAAGATTCCCAATTGCAGTGAATATATTGCACTTCTTTTCATTTTTGGATTAGTGCTGATGCTGTGCGGTTTTTCTCAGCTGTACAGGAGCATCCAGGGGAATTTTGGACAGAGTTACTGGCTCAAATCCCATTATTAATTTTCTTGTAAACAAAGCATTTATATTCACATGGGAAAACTCATCCTGCTTTCCTAAAGCACGAGATCAGTGGGACACCTTTGAAAATAATGAGGTGATTAAATATGGGTTTGACGGTTGAAGAGATGGAAGAACCGTGATTTAGTTTCAGCATCGATTTGAGCTGTGACTTGGACGCAAGCAAGCAGCAGGCTACATCTCAGTTTTCCCTCTTGTAAAATGTATGTGTGGGGCTGTATTATTGTATTATTTAATGTTCCTTCATGGCCTTCAGCCCCACAGTGATAAAGCACCTGGAAATCTAGGTGCAAAGTACAATCACAAGGACTGATATCGTCATGATTGCACAGGAAAGAGGTAGGATGACAAAGAGACCAGAATAGAGTTTAGAAGAGATGAATAGTAATGCAAAGAACCCATTATTGCAGGAGACATCTGACGTGATCTCTTCCTTTTGGCACGGGGAACCTTTCAGGGGCAGTTCTGCTGTTCCCAGGTGTTGGGGATGCTGTTAGGCCCCCAGTTTGGGTGTTTATGAATCCAAACAAATTCTGAATATGCTTTGCTCCCCAGGATAGCTTTCAGAGCTGCATCAGAAAGATGAGCTGCCAGAGGCATTACTTCCCGACCACACTTACTGCTGTAGATCTCTGAGCCTTAGGAAGGGTACAACCAATGATCCATTCATGTTGCCTTCCTGCGGTCTTGGAGAATCTCTGAAGAAATTCAGGGTTGGGAATGATCAGATGCAAAAAGCCAGCAACTGATGAGTAAGAGTAAGGAGAGAAATACATAATGAAAAAGACTGCATGCTCAGACTGTTGCCTGCAAAGGTGCGGGTGTCTGCAGAGCAGGCTGAGCAAACAATTTTTCTTCTTTTCTGAAAGTGTTTACTACTGCAATTAAATCATTATATAATAGACATAAACTCTGTTGCTAGTATCTCCAGTCACATCAAAGCAGTTGCATACTAGCTGCTTTTTTTCAACTGCCTTGAAAGGTCAAAGTCAACTGATTTTATTTTTGAAAGTCAGACTGTCCCAGTTTGAAGCAATGTTGTCATTTCTGGCCATTAGAGCCAGCCCCTTCTTTTGATTGTGCACTTTTCCTATCTGTATTCAAAAGGCAGTTACAAGGGAGTTTCTTTAATGTCACACATATTAGTGCAGTCCCCCATCTGCACACTTACTGTTTGGCAGTGGTTTTTGTTTGCTATTTAACTCTCTAGCTCAGTGACAGAAAGGGGAGCCTGAAACCTGAGTAACCCCAACAGCTGTGGCTGAAGGCAGCTGGCAGGGTCGTGAGTCATTCAGCATCTGAGCTGTGCTCTCTTCCTTCAGACTCAGTTCATGCCATCTTGGGAGCCAGTCATGCCTGTTTTCTATACTGCCAGACTCCTCATTGCTGCATTATTCTGCTGTGTCTGCTGTCCATTCCTGGCTCTCTTTCTTCAGCCCAATGTAACTAAATTTTACAGTGGGGAAATGGAGGCTACTGCTCTTTTTAGGGTACAGGGAGCTTTTCTGGCCTATTGGATTTTAAGCCATCCTCTGCTAGGAAGTCAACGGAGAACAGAGTCTGTCACACGGATCACTTTTATTTTGTCAGATAAATTTGCAAGTGAAAAACATCAGTGTGCAGTTCTGCTGAAGCTGAAATCTTAACAGTAGTATAGGTAATCATATACATAA